CGATTTCTACACCGCAATCTAACGTCCACGCCATTGAGGGTAAGGACCGTTGTTCCTACTTCCTTTCCTGAGGGAGTACGAAGGGCGCGTGAGGATTTTTTGTAGCCTTCAATATCAGACGTTAGAGTTTCCCACCACGAGAAGTCATGGGAACACATTAGAGAGAGGTCGTGCAAACGTCTCGTGAAAAGTCTAAGAGATTTGCGATCGCACCTTGGGAAATTCCCGGACGACCGTCGATCTCGTGTTGAATAAAAGTCCCATTGAATTCTCCGTCACTCTCTGACTTCTTGAGATGTGAGTCTATTTGTGCAACTACCAGAAAACTTGTAGCGTTTAATTGTCTGCTTGTGGAAACGTGTATTTATTATTGTTATTAATGGAGGAAAATAAGCTTCTAATCACCCCGTTCTATACTGCAATCCCAAATGTTATTTTATCTAAATCTGTTTCTTAAATCGTTTTAAGTCATTTAATACGTTTAAACATATTAAGTTATAATTTAGACGTCTAAAACGTGTTAATGATTGAAAACCGCAAGAAAGTTTCAACCAAATTACATGCTTATGTGTTCAAGAACAACACACTTTTTTGCATTTTTGCAGTGTGCAAAAGATCTTTTGTTTGCTGACAGCCATTTTAGATTATTTTTAAATTATTTATAATCTTTTAAAATGACTCTTTAGGATGACTCTCTTTTACTTTAACAAGTGTAGGAGAGAAAAACATGTATAGTTAAGATACAAATGATTTAGAAAGCTTTTCATGTAATTATCGGACAGTATTCTATCATTGCTAACGAATCAAACGAACACAAGATTCGACAAAGATATTCTGCAAGATCAAGACTGAACTCTCGTCTTAAAGTGTAAAATGTCTTACTTCTCCTCTGACCGCAACACAATCCTCAGCGAACGCCCAGGACATCGCGGCGTCGCACGCGCGAAAAACACCAGTGCTCATTATTTCACGCTATCTACAACGGCATGAATGGAAACCGAAATCGAAATGAAAACGGCGAGAAGGTCATGCTCACGTGTCAGGAATAACACAAGCGTGGCGTTGACCCACATTGTTTTTGAAACGCGATTAAACTCATTGAAAACGACCGAAGGTAGATTAATGGCGTCGGGGCGCGTAACCGCGAAAAGCGGGGCAAAAAGCGAAACAAATTTAACGAGCTGTGAATTATGAAAATCGGTGACAGGCCGCCGCTTTTAAATGCTCTCTCGCGCTCTCTCCGGTCCGCCCTCCCGGGTCGGCGGCTCTCGCTCGCGCTCCCTCTCTCTCTCTCTCTCGCACCAGTTTGGTTTGGGCGCGTGCCAGTGTGTGTTGAATCGAAACGATTCGAATGCAAAATAATAATAAAACAGTGGAGCTCGTTGAAGGCGGGTGTGGTGGGCGTCGGGGGTGGGAGAGCGGGTAGACGACAGAGAGGCGGGGTCGGCAGCGCATTAACGCAATTAACCTCCAATTAATAACACATCAATTGACACCCGGTCAACTTGTTGCATCAGAGCAGGCCGATAATATGCTGAACGCGTGTGAACCGTATGTGTACGTACACAATGTGCCCCCGTATGCGCCTCCAGCGCGTGTGAGTACCTCCGCGTACATTTCGCTTGCGCGTGTGCTGTATATATGCGCGTGTACGTGCGCACGTCCGCGCGCTTAAGCAAGACCATGCGCTTTCGCGCGCGCCCGCGTGTTTGTGCGGTCGTGGATGCGTGTTACGGCGAGGGTGGTGCGCCTATCCCCCATGTCGTAGGCATAATGATGAAACGAATGTTACAATAATTTTATATCGGGAGGGTGAAGTCGTACATACCTAAGCGGAGGCGTGCGTGTACATACGCGACGGACATGGACTGATGACCACAGTCGAGTTCCCATACAACCCCCTGCGAGCGCGCTCTCGCCACATGACACCTACAGGGGGTGGAATTCCGATGCACATGCCATTGCTATGTTACCTCGACAACGCCATGTGGGGTACGTGCACCATGTGATGCTCGCGCAGACACTGTCTCGTTTCTTCCTTACCTCTGTTTCTTCGCCGCTGTTTCGTGGGGCAGCTGAAAATTACTTGGTGCGGAACACCGTTTGTGGGATAGACTCGTGGCGAAATTTTGTTGCGCGACTCACGACGCTTCTGGATCGCGACTCGAATCGCTAAGCACCTCCGTACATCGTATCATCTACTTAGGAAAACGATCGCTCGTAATATAGATCATCACCTTGAAGTTCCATCGAGGGCTCCCCATGCATTAACTATCCTATGTATTACTTGCGGACCCTATCACTGTGCACTATAATCGCTCTTTGAAATCTACCCACCTGCTTAAATGATAAATATCGTATGACGCACAGGAAATGGTCATTGGTGGCTCGTGGATGTGTATTTGTTGCACTTTAAAACAATAGTGATTGATCTTACAATATATATCTTGATGATATATCTGACAAATTCTGTTCCTATACAATATTTCTTTCATCGTACGAAATAAAGAGCTTAATTCTCAAGAAAAAAAAAGATAATTGCACACGGTCTCTCGTTCGATTACTCGAAATTTTTGGAGAGTGGTCATCGTATATTGGCATATCGCGGTAAGACCGTGTCTGCGCCGCCAGCATTCGCCTTCCTGAGCACATTCGTCGCATGTAATTAGCTCGTCGTGTCTACTTCCGAATCGAGGCAACAGTGGGAGAGTTCCTGAAGCCATTTCCGGCGGGGTACCGGCACCTTTTTGTTTCCCCCTTCTCGTCCCACGCATGACGGCGCACAGGGAAGCACCGATCAAAAATAGGAAAGACAGCCGTTCGTCCGACCCCCCTCGAAGCGTCCCTTGCTATCCAGGTACAATCGTTCCGTAGACCTTATCGAGGTCGACACCATATGTCACCCTTGGTGTAACGAGTGCGCGAGCCCGCGACACCCCTCCGAAGTAATTGCCAACGGAACTGCCCGACAATTTCTCGGAACGAATCGCTCCTCTTCGAGGAAGCGGCCGAGAGAACGCGTTAACTTGCCGTAATTGAACATTTACGTAATAGTGATTCAAACGCGCAACGAGGCCGCGGACGATACTTCAAACGTGGCAACGCGTTCGCTCGTCTTGCAGCGACACGATCCTTCCTGTTGCGCAACTTGCAATTGCCTATCATCGAAAAAGGAGACAAAACGAAGCACCTCTATAGTCTCACGGGACAGATGTTGTGATTTTATTCGATGTATTTTGCCTTTTTAATAAGCGTTTTCGTAAAAAGATTTCCTCCTCAGGACTGTTCTCGGGATGTGACAGTACAGAAAAATAAAAGTTCACCGTTCACGCGTGGAATCGTTAAACTTTCTTCACATTGTGACACGCACCGTCTCCTACGAATCCTTCCGACTTGTCAATAGACGGCGACCGTGAACGCGTATCGAGGCGTCCTCGAACGTATGGGGTTTATGCGTAGGCGAACTATGGAATATGTTGGCTTATTGAGCGCAGGTGCTTTAAACTGCTCAGCTGTTGCTTCGAATCTCCCGTACATATGCACGGACACGTGTGCCCGTTCGCTGTATTAGTGCGTATTCAAGTTCTACGTACCGCGATACGTGCGTGCGTTCGCACAACCGTCTCACTTACGCACTTAGATGTAGCGTCAATTGAACTGCATGACGATCGAAACTTCTAACAGGCCGTGCACCATTGACGAATGAAGAGCGATTATTTACGCGCGCGAACTATTGTACTCCGCACGAATTTTATTAAAATATTTCGTCGAGGAAGAAGTGGCAATTGCGACGACGAAGACACGCGAGTGTATCGTTCATACGTTTGCGCAACGCGAATTAAAATCCCCGAGTGTTTTGTTGATCACGAATTTAAAAGCATGAAAATTGGAAAGCGGGTGCGATCGGTTGCGTGGAACACGAACGAAAGATTGATCATATCTTACTCGCATAGCCAAGCCGGATGGATCTATGATGGTGGTAGTGGTCTATGATCGAATGTGCGCAATGAGCTATCAATTATTTTTTGTGCCCCTTTCTTTCGCCAAGTATCGACCGACGACGGTATGCATCCCCACGACGAAGAGACCACTCCAGGCGGAACTGCTTATGTATCGAATAAGATATTCAACGCAAGTAATTTTCTTATGTCCGTTCCTCAAGCGAACCACCCCCTTCTTCGCTAACCCCGTCCGTAACTCACTATACTTTGAGTTTTTGCTTCGAGCGGCCGCGGGGTGTTCGGACGAGGGTGAAACACGTTACTCGCAACTATCACCCGCGGTTGGTTCTTCTTCTTCGTCGTCGTCGCCGTCGTCGTCGACGCCACCACCGTCGCCTCTTCCTCCTCCTCCTCCTCCTCCGCTTATCATGGTCGATCACTGTATTTTTAACCGATATCACTTTGCATTCCCTTTCCCGTGTTCTACCGCGACGTAACGCGACATCATCGTGCGATGAACCGATGTACTCTTCCTAATCGAACATCCGAAAATATAGGAAATGTGTTTCCTGCGAACACTCTCTTTGAGAATCCACGGTGCTTATGAAGAGATAAAATGTGAAACACGAAAATAACAAAACAAAAAAAAAATAAAAAGAATCAAAGTAATAACACAAACAATATTTCTGTTTAACTGAAAAACTCTCGTGCAAATAAGTTAGGACAAATTGCTGCATTTACTGCTCAGCAATTGCGAGAAATTTTCTTTCGTGCGGTGTAACCTACTTTCTATATTTCTTCCGCAAACTCGATTCATAGTTAAAATAAGATGTGCCAATAATAAGAGACAAGTCCGTACACACAGTCGCGTACCTTCCGTCTACGGAAGCGATGTTTCTTTCAATACGACGGTCTATATACAGTGCTTAAAATAATCCACGGCGTGCTATTACTGTTACCGTGAATCGATTCTGTCATTACATATATAGACAAAGGTTGTCCGATCCGTCTCGCCGGCTAGCAGATCGCTAATATGGACCGTTGTCCCTTTTGTTGCAGACGAATAGGAGAATTGCGGCCACGAAAATCGAGACGAGGGAGCGAGGGGCACTTAGCCCTTTGGCGAACTCGAAGGATGCAGCTCCCAGGCGGGAGCACGAGGATTCCGCCCGCGAGAGTACCGGTTTCTCTTCTGGTTATCATCAACGGCAACAACATCGCAACGACTACCGGGAGCAAACGCATCAGTAGCAAAAGCAGCAGACGCGGCGGTACCGGTTACAACAATCACCGTAGCAGAAGTAGTAAGAAGCGCGATAGCAGCGGATACAGACCCTATAACGAATCGACCTTTCCGAAGAAAACCCGTCATCCCGAGACGAGGGCGGACGGCCGACACCGAGTCACCGTACAGCAGCCTCAGCCGTTGGCGTCAGCTCTACGGCGGAAGGTGCGGGGCGAGGAATAGTGAAGAGAAAGCGCAGAAAAAGCGAGAAACGACGGAAGAAGAAGAAGAGGAGGCGCGAGAGAAGGAGAAGAAGGAGAAGAGGAGGAAGCAGGAGTCCGTTGGGAAAGAGAAGGGTGCCGGCGTCGTCGTCGTCGGCGGCGGCCGCGGAGGAGGAGGAGGAGGGGGAGGAGGAGGCGGCGGAGGAGGAGGAGGAGGAGGAAACGGCGGCGGCGGCGACAGAGGAGAAAGCGGAGGAGACGGAAAAGGAAGAGGAGGTGGAGGAAGAGGAGGAGAAGAAGACGAAGGTGAAGGAAGCGGGGTGGTTGGTGGCGAACGGGGTGGGGATCCGTAATAGCTAGAAGGAACGACAAGGAAAAGAGGCGGCTGAAGTAGGAGAAACACGGAGAGACTATAGTGCAGAAGCCGTGGCAGCGCGCTGAGCCACGAGGGGCTATTCGAGCGAGAAGGGGAGGGGTGGCAAGAAGCCCTGGCGGGGAGGGGACGCGGAGGCCTTCGGGGGGCCGACCAACCAGACGGCCGATGATGTCATCGGAGGAGGAGACCGAGTGTTTCGCCCTCTACGGAGCAACCACGGAAAGCAAGCAACAGCAACTCCTGAAGAAGCAGAAGCGCACCAGACAGCGCGTGGACGCCGGCGAGCCGCGCAACAGCTACTCAAGTATACCGAACTTCAGCTCCCGACCATCCTTTCTCGGTGGTGGTCTATACGGCTCGATCTTCAGTGGTAGCGGGACACCGTCACATCAACAACAACAACAGCAACAGCAGCAACAACAACAGCAGCAGCAGCAGCAACAGCAGCAACATCATCAGTCGCAATCGCAACAACAACAGCAACAACAGCTCCAGCAGCAGGCTGGAGCTACAGGCAGTCAAAGTCATTTAGGTACAGCTACGACGGGTCCTACAACCCAGCAGCATTCCGCCCACGCGGCCTTCGGCTTCTTCGGGGCTCCGGGCTTCGGCCCCGCCAAGATGCTGAACGAGTTATTAGGGCGGCAGGTCAAACAGGCCAGTGACGCTGGCGGATCGCCGCCCGAGGGTGGTCACGGGATGACCGGTGCCGGCATGGATCCCGCCTCAAATCTGCAACCGGGCGCTGTGGTTAATTGCGACGATCCCGCCACGGCCGACCTCACGCAGCACATGCTGCGCGACATGCTTCTGCAGGGCCGCAAGCTCTCCGCCCTCGGTGTGCAGGAACAGCCCAACAATAACAACAGTATACATAGTAATAATAATAATAACACCACCGCGGAATTACTTAAGTCCCAGCATCAGCAGAGTCCGCAGCAACATCAACAGCAGAACAGTGATAGTGCGCGCAGTGGAACAGTGCAGAGTGGCGGGGAAGAGAGTGGTGATGGCAATAACGTCGTGAATAGCGCGAACCATAGTGATCGTGATACCGTGATGCCGGGCGATGCTGAAGACAGCGCTGAGGATGCTGCGTCCGCGGCACGCGCGATGGAGGAGGCTTTTGCCGAGGCCGGTATGGAACCAGGAGCAAATTTAGACGGATCGGATTGCGAGCAAAGCTTACCCCCTAGCCCAACGGCACCGAGGTCAGGCTCCGTTTCTGTTAAGGAGGAAATCGTGGAGTCGCTGAATATCAAACGTAGTCCCAGTCATTCCCCCTGTCCAATCGTGCCAAAGACCGAGACGAGTTCTCCGACGACGGAGATCAAACGAGCCCGCGTGGAGAACATCGTCAGCACGATGCGCAGTAGCCCGGCGCTACAGCCGGCTACGGTCAATGGTTGCAAGAAGCGTAAGCTTTACCAACCTCAGCAACAGACTGTACACCACGTTCTCCAGCATAGTGTCAATGATACCATAATGGATGACGAGGACGAGAGCGAGGAGGAGGAGGACCCGGCGACGATTAGGCAGAAACGAGAGGAGAAGGATAACTTGAAGACTCAGTTGAAGATGTTACATGAACAATTGGCGGAAATGCAGCAAAAATATATGGAGCTCTCCAGTAGAATGGAACCGGATACGAGCGAAAGCGGTGACGCGCCACCCAGTCCTCCACCTCAACCGCAACATCAACCGCCACCTAGACCTCCACGACCTCACCCACCGCCGTACAACGGCCTCCCAGCCCTCCCACCTGATCACCCGCACGCAGCGGCTGCCGCTATGTATCACATGGGACACAAACTCTACTTCGAGCAACAACATGCCGCCCTCGAGAGGATGAAGCAACATCAGGAAGCGGCCGTGAGGCAGCAACAACATCAACAGCAACAGCAACAGCAGCATCAGCAGCAGCAACAGCAACAGCAACAGCAGCAGCAGCAACAGCAGCAGCAGCAGCAACATCAACGACAAAGTTCGCCACCGCCACCACCACCACCACAGAGTCAGCCTCCACAACAAAGCCAGAACAATACTGGACCTTCGACGCCGCAGACGCCGCAAATGCAAACAGCCACCACGCCTATACAGCATAAAGACTTCCAGGAGAGGTTAAACGTCTTCAGGGGTGCCGCGGCAGCAGCCAATTCGTCCGGTCCTCACATAACTGGAGCCGATCTGGAAGGCTTAGCGGATATCCTGAAGACGGAGATTACTTCTTCCTTAACCAATCTGATCGATAGTATAGTCGCGAGGTTTGTGCAACAGAGGAGGTTTCTCGGTAAGCAAACCGAGGCAGCGCAGGCTGCCGCCGAGCAGCTCAACAAGGACCTCCTTCTCGCGAGCCAAATGCTCGAGAGGAAGTCGCCGAGAACGAAAGTAGTCGATAGAGGAGCACCGCAACCACCCGGTGGCCCAAACGGGCCACGGGGGCCCCACAACGGCGGGCCCCTTCCTCCACAAGCCACAGGATTTTCGCAAATCGGGTCCATAGGTGGTGTTCCCCATGGCCCTCATGCTGGTCCCACGGAAAATAACCTTAACCAGATGAATCAGCTGCCCTCGCACGGGAGACCAAATGTTGGAATGTTTCAGACCCCAAAACCGCCGACGATATACGCCATGGCCTCTATGCAGGCGCAACAACAACAACAGCACCAGCAGCAACATCAGCAGCAACGCGAGCAGCAGCAGCAAAGGGAGCAACAGCAACGTGACCAATATTGCAATATGAGGGGCGACGAAAGAGAAAACAGGGATTCGGAGCAAAACGAAGCCCTCTCGCTCGTAATGACTCCAAAGAAAAAGCGTCATAAGGTAAGCATCGCTACGTATATCACGTATATTAATAGATCGATATAATTTGTAAATTACACAGATAAATTGTACAACATATACTCTTCATGTATCACAAAAGATATTAAATTTAAATGATTGAGAGACACTTTTCCTTTAAAGATTACCTTTAAAGAAAACCTTTAAAGATTACCTTCAAAAAGTAATAATGTATAAATTGAAGTTAAAGTATCGCGATTTCATGATTCTTTATCGATTTTTCATTCAACGACTTAGTTAAATATGCATGGAATTAAATATATTAAGACTTTAATTTTTAATTACGAAAACTCTTGATGAATCTGTCTAAAAAGAAAATACTAATTAGTACGCTTTACAGGTGACGGATACGAGAATTACTCCCAGAACGGTGTCTAGAATCCTAGCGCAAGAGGGAAACGGATCGCAAGGAGGTAGTGATAGTCCCCCGCCTCCTCCGCCACCGAGACCCTACCACGCGCCACCACCGATGCTGCCGGTGTCTCTGCCAACCAGCGTAGCGATACCAAATCCAAGTCTCCACGAGAGTCAAGTGTTCTCGCCCTATTCGCCGTTTTTCAATCCTCACGCGAGTCATCCTGGTCAAGTGCCACCTCCGGGGCCACATCATTTACCCGCGAGTCCTCCGGGTGGAGGTGTAGAACTCAGGGATTCCCCTCCACTGCCCCATCCGCCTGCTATGTTGCATCCAGCCTTACTGGCGGCAGCTCAGCACGGCAGTCCGGATTACGGACACCTTAGGATGGACAGCAACGACCGAGCTAGCGACTGCAATTCAGGCGATATCACCTACGATGGAATTCAGCCTACAATATCCTTTGCTAATACTTACGCGCTGAAGAACAAATTATATTACGTGAGATCTTTAGATGACCGATTTAAACGGATTTTATTACGGCAATTACAAAAGAAATCTCGTGTTTATTAAGCATTCGCTTCTAAAAGGAAAGAATTCATATTTCATTCACGAAAATAGAAAAATATTATCTGAGGATATATGCAAACAATACGTAAAGGTATTGGGAAAATGGTCAAGACGCGTGGAAATATTTTTCGAGATGGATTAGGAGCAAAAGTCAAAAAGTTTAGGATGTAACGGAGAGTATTTGAGAAGGAGAAAGAGAGAGAGAGAGAGAGAAAGATAGAGATAGAGATAGAGAAAAAGCTGAGCAAATGGCTTGCTCATTCGTTCGTTCGCTTGTTCGCTCGCTCGCTCACTCCAAGGGCGGCTGGAGCGAGGAAGCTCGGACGAATGTTAGATTAGTTTGCCACGGAGTTAGGCTAATGTTGGCTGCACCTACGAGTAGAGTTTGTCCGGCAACAACGCACCGAGCCAAAAGTTCTTTGCCTACCCGGCCCACCCTCAGCCTCCAGTCTCACCCAACTTCGCAAGCCAATAATCTGTCCCGCAATTTCGCAATTCAGACTGAGCATTTCGGCATTTCGCGAACTTCCCATCTCAAGCGTCTCCTCGACTTATCGTAGATAAGCCACTTTTGCCGGCTTCGCGGAGCTAAACTTTGCGCATCGAACTTTGGCCCGCGCATACGCTCTTCTCGTCGTCTATCGTGCGCGCACGCGAAGAAAAGGACGTCGTCCCTACCTATAATCCCTATGTCGATCACATTTTGCGCAGCTATACGTGATATTCAAGATTATTTGTAGAAGGGAAATAACATTTTTTTCGATAAATAATATATTTTTTCATGTTCTCTAGTAGAGTATCACAATTTTTTAATATCGATAATTTGTCATAATTATTTGCAGTATTTCGTCTTACATATGACCGTAATCAATAAAGAAGTACTGTCTATCATTTTTAAAACAATGAATTCTAGAATGTTCATGTAACATTTCTCAAAGGGTAAACAATTATCATTGAAAACACCGCTTGATTTCTTCTTTTGAGTCTGGCTGACAAATCATTTCCAAGTCTTGCTGAATCCTCATCTTCGTGACCTTTCGCGGAACGATGAAAATAGCCGCGATTGCGCCTAGTTAGGACACACTCTTAGGATCGTCAGAAAAGCGAGCAGCGAGCACGGAATGGTTCAGCAGCCCGATTATCGCGCATGGTCCACCACGCCGCGGCTTGCTTCTGAGTTACCGAAAGAGAGTGCAGGGAGATCCGATGGCTCGCGGACCGGAGTTCGCCTCGGTGCAACGAGGAAAAAAAGGCGCGCGGGCTCGTGTGAGCGCCGATCGTCCGATGCAATGTCGGAACTGCATCCACTGGCAGGCGTTGTTGGACCGGGTCGCTCGATCGAGTAGCGTGTCGTTCTTTGCCGCCTTTTTAGTCGGCCTTTGATGTAAAATCAATGGCGCATTTTTTCACCCCCTCCTCTCTTGAGGTAGGTCGAGCGCGTCGTGCATCGCCGTGACGCGACCTGCTATTCCGCGCTCCTCCGGACGCATCCTAGTCTCGTCGCGATACGCGTTGACGGTCGACGCATCCGAAATGCATCTGGTCGCTCGTGTGTTTCCTTCTCGCGTTTTTCTCCCTCTCTCTCTCTTTCTTTCTCTTATTCTCGAGAAAATCACGTCGCGATATTTGAGATTGGGATCGATCGTTCGCACCTGACGCGATTTACACACACACGTGCACACGTTTCGAGTAAGTTCGCTCGAGAGCGCGATACCGTTAACGCGAGAGATTCGAGCGGATGAATTAATCGAATAAGATTGCGATGAAACCACATGCAGAGATCCTATTACGGGTAAGGAGTCGGTAAGGCTTCTGTTGAGGATACGGCCAATCGTAGATCAACACATCGCGGTAAGAAACCTTCTACCGCCTACCCTCGCGATAGCCACAGCTTGTACGATTTCTAATCCGATTTGATACGAAAGAAAATACAATTATTTCTGAGATACTCAGGTATCCGTGGTATGAATACGCACGTATATACGTCTCCCTCTCTCGCTCTCTCTCTCTCTCTCTCTCTGTTTTTCTCTGCGACGTTTTTCTCTCTTAATTCAATCCTTTCCCTCGTAATCGCAAGGGGATAAGGGAAAAACGCAAATAGTGAATGAGAAAAAATTTATCTTTGTTGTTTGTATACATGGCAAAATGACTATTTCCTTAACCACGGTGAACTCGTCGACGCTGACACCGATGCATCTGAGGAAGGCGAAGCTGATGTTCTTCTGGGTCAGGTACCCGTCCTCGGCCGTCCTTAAGATGTACTTCCCCGACATCAAGTTCAATAAAAACAACACAGCGCAGCTGGTCAAGTGGTTCTCCAATTTCCGGTGAGTAATAGTCAATATGTTAAACTTACAGTCGAGAATCACAGTGGTCGGTATTCAAATTAGATATTGTCCTACAAATGGCTCGTGCTTCTCCGTACGAGACCATTGTCCGTGAAAGACTAGGTGGGTCATAGATTTGCTCGAAAATAAGATTTGTCTGTTCAAGAAAAAAATTAAATCATGAATATCGCGCGATATTTAGATGAACGAACATATCAACGCTACTGAACCGCGAAAACTTAAGTTTTTTTATTAAATTCAACCGCCAGTTGTCGATCTCGTAAGTTGCAAGTTAACGAGATCAAATTGCTCTCGCGCAGATCGCGATCGGCTTGTGGCGAAACGAATAACCTAGTTCACGAAAACGAGCAGACAGTCGTGTCGAGAGAGAATCTCGAGGATCTGTTGGCAGGCAATCTGCTCTGTCGCCACTCCCCGACATAATCTCGGACATTTTCGACCTCATTCGGTATTCCCTCGAAAGTATGAAATCGTAGAAGACGTTTCTGATAACGGACGCGTTTCGTGTATGCAAACGAGAACGAGGTTTTCGAGGAGGGATCGACCACTCCCTTTGTAGAAGCGGTCAGAGCCCAAGAGACGAGAGTCACGATGGGTGTGTCCGAATCTTAATTACCCTCTCTCGTAGCAGCTGGGGATAAGTAACGCTGCCTACATAGTGGCAGGTATAGAGGCGTAGGAGGCCGCAGGTACCGACGCATACTGTCCAGCAGGCATTAGGCTGATTATAATTAGGCTGAGTACAGCACAGATCCAAGATACAAGGCGGTCGAAGGCGGCGAGCACGTGGCCTCGCCGTTACATTATTACCGCTTTCTTATCATGAGACGTCCGCTCTCGTAAAATCGTAAGTCTTCCGCGGTCCCACGTGTCGCGGTGTCCTTATATCGCGACGCGTACAGACCACGTGTGCGGCTGTAATACGCTCCGTGTCCGATGAGACGTGCGTGCGCGACGATAAATTGCACGGGCGCGGGTGAACAGGCAACCTCGTTTAGTTCAGCTAGTCTCTCTCTTTCTCTTTCTCTCTCTCTCTCTCTCTCTCTCTCTCTCTCTCTCTCTCTCTCTCTCTCTCTCTGTGGGTCAAGTCTCAACTGCGTAAATTTTTTTACACCACGTCTCATGTCGCTACTCAACTGCTCGGCGAAATGTTTGCTCTGGACATTTTTCATCGTGCTGAAACACTAAATTGTTTCGAGTTAATGTTTAGCATGATGCGTTGCATAGTTAAACAGCCGAGATAGCGGTCAAAGAACCGGGATGTCAGTGTTGCATGCGCGTGCAGAAATGCGACGAGCCGGATCCAAAGGTAAAAAGATTTTGTCTATTTCGGTGCGATACGAGCATCGCTGTTAATTATCAACCTATTGTTCTCTGTAATTTTATTCATTGGGACTATCAAAAAGAGCGGAATCGCAGATAAAAGAGCGAGCACGCGGTCTGTTTGCGGAACTTTCAAACGTCCGGCAAAAATTGCGCGCTCGTATTTCACGATACGCACAAAGCTAATTACCGCCTCAACATATTTCGGTACATTTGGCTCTGTCGGCCCGAGGCTTTTTTTACGTCTCCTTCACGATTTTACCCTCCTCTCCGTTCGAAATCTTTCTTAATGAGGTTTGCTCTGAATCGCGTCTTGCAGTTTCGCGCAAGTTGAGACTTTTGCAGCCAGTAGAGAATATAGCTCAGAATTAAACGAATAGCTTCGAAATTAAGAGAATAATACATAATAATTCTAATTATTTTTCTATAGTAAGCATCGTGTATACATGTGTTTTTCACACATAGTAAAGATACATTTTTTCGATAGTCCGTTTATTCTTAATTAAGATGGGATGAGAATTTGTACTTGTGATTGGTTTTGTGAGGAAAATTGATCGCAAAGCAACTCGAAGATGTCCGTTTGTTTGTTTACCGGTCCGAAATTTCTTCCTTTGACAACTAATCACGTAAGGGTTTGCGCGAACTTTTTCTTCCTCTTTCTCCAACAGCGGTTGTCGCGCGTGCCGGATCTGATAGCCTAATGCACGGCTTCCTATGCGGAAATGCCTCGCTACATTATTCTACGCTCCTACGTCCGTGCATGGTCAACCCTCTACCCTTTCCCACCCTAGATCATCGTTGTACTTTTGTCACGAGAACGGCCCGAGACCACCGTCGCCGCCACCTGCTACGTCGATTACTATATTGTCCGCTTATTCCCGGTATAAAACATACAGAGACCGTCGATCAGGGCCTAAGTGTGTTCTTACTGATTGTTCAATCGCCGACTATATCGATTCATTGATATCAATGAAGCGATACGTATACCGCGACAAAGGAGAAAGGAGCGCATAAGTTCTATTTTTTTCCGTGTGTGCTGATAATGTAACGTAGCTTTCTCTTAGTCGCGCAATATTTATGGATAATTATCACGTACGGTTGTTGGCAAAGTTGCTATAAAGGGAGACGACAAAATTAGTCGCACTATCGCCGTCCTGATATTTAACTAAAAATATGAGGAACAGTGTAATTGTTATCAGAGAAAAACGCTGAGAATATCTAACATATAATACATAGCAGAAACGTGTAATTTTTTTTCCTTTATAAATATGGCGTCGCGCACTCACTCGACTCGTGCATTAATAACGTGCAAGAATAACGAATAAGTACAATTTAATCATATCATATTTACCCGTGCGATGTCATTTATCTGTGTAAACCTCAGCGGCGCGGCAGACGCCGTAGAAAATCGGATCCGAAGAGAAACAGATAGAGAGAGAGAGAGAGAGGGTGAGAGAGAGAGAGAGAGAGAGAGGGAGAGAGGGCAGGGAGGGAGAAGGGAAAGAAGAATAGAGCGAGGAGCAGAGTGATAGAAAAAGAGCGGCGGCGAGAGACGACCGTGCACAAAGCGATCGTTCGCACCCTATTTTCTCACGCTCACGCTCGCGTCGAATCGAAAGCACGTCCGATATCTTACGGAGACTCGTTGACGTCGCGCGTACATCATCGGACCTGCTTATACCGACGATATTGACAGCCTTCGTTCGATGAAGCACGCCGTGGGGGATGATTGGGGTCGTCTACGATCCAGGCTACCGCGTGTGTGCGTGTCTCGCGTCTGCTGCGGTATGTGTGTACGTGTGTGCACACGCGCGCGCGCACGCGTATGTATGTGCATATATGTGTACGTGCGCACGTACTCGTCTCTATCTCCGCGCATCTCTCCCCGTCCGCCCGACCTGTCTGTCGGTCGGCCGGCCGATCGGTCGGTCGGTTCACCCCCGCGTGCGCGAAAAAGAGAAAGAGCGCGAGAAAGAGAGATGTGCGGGCGGGCTGGGGTTAGTTCGTTATCAGATCCCACGGTAGGACACGCGACTGAGGTAGCAGATCCTATCTGCGGGATGGAAGAAATTTTATGTCGTATAATGGACAACGGACGACGCACACGACACGGCCCTAACCGCGGACGGTGAAGCTTCGACTTCGCACGAAAAACCCGGTCGCCTCGGCGCGAGCTTGTGAGAATCGGGCAGCGATTTTCCGCCTACAATCGCGCGCGCACACGCGCGCCGTTTCTTCTCGACACTTTGCCCATTTCTCTGCACGGTCATTCACCGTTGATATTTATAATACGTATTAAAATTTCCATTACGCGAGAAGGGAAATTCACCTCTTTAGAAATCGAACGGACGACACGACGCTTACCTCTTCGTTGTGATATCGCACGATTGAGCAACGTCCGACGTTTTGCTCGCGCAATTTCTGTTACACGTACGCAAACATTTGCGGTACGTCACCGGCTCGCGGAACATCTCTTGACAAGTGTTTAGGCAGTTCAAATAGCCTTCTGCCCCCCTTCTCTCTCTCTCTGTCGCATTACCTAGCATTGGATTAGCAAGGGCTTTATAAATGGAGCAGGATTGAGTTCAGCTAAGTATATAAATAACATTTCTGAAAACCCCGCGAAGCGAGGAAAGACGATATCTTCGACAAAGAGACCTCCAAGTGACGGTTGACGAGAAAACGCGAGTTAATGAGTCGGCCAAAGGCAGAGAGTAATATAATGCCACGAAAAGGGCACGAGAGAGAGAGAGATAGAGAGAAAGAGAGAGGGAGGAGGAATATTATAATACAAATAAAGAATCAAAAACTCTGGAGTCGTCGTATAATGAAGTCGGTCGCGATGAATTTACCCAGTCACGCTTTCGAGGGGTTGTTGCTTATCCTCGTGAAATATTCGATAATTCTTGGCGGCCCGGGGGTTCAGCGTGCGCGTTCTCTTTCTAATTTCTCCTTCGCCTCATTCTTATCAATCGACGATCGTTTCGTGGACGGACATTACCGTGTCGCCGCTCGTCCGCAGAGCGTACCCGCGTTGTCCGCCGCCGCGGCGTAGTCGGGGTAATGACGCGGTAATTTTCTAAACACAAATTTCCTTTTTCAACCCTTATCTCTCGACCGTCGGACACGTGACCGGTCGTTAGCGTTCACGTTCCTCCTTCGTGCGGTCTGTCTACGCGCTCTAAGTAACTACCGCCTGTCCCGACACGCACCTCCGCCACTTCCAGGTAAAAGCGCGCCTTGCTTATATCGAGCGTGATCTTCTCACCTGGTGACATGCCATTATCCAAGAACTCCCGGAGTTCACCTCGTGATAATTAAAAAGGGTGAAAAAACGATGCTAAATTTTCAATCAACAACGAATATATCTTAATTAATTACCGTGTCCTTGAAAGCCGAAGAGTACTCCAGTGCATAGCCATTAATTTTTAATTAATGTCAGACCCACTTGAGAGAAAAAAGAAACTGTAGTCTTAAATATTCCGTTGCGCTTTGCTATCTTGTACATTTAGATCTTGTTTACTCGTTGAATCATAGAGTTGTGCTATTTAGAGCACGAGAGTGGGATGTCCGTTTATCAAAATCTTGGCTACAAGCGTGATTAGAGTCGGCGGGCGATCTCCGCACGGAGAACTACTTGCGCTTTCTACTTCTGG